GATTATATGTAGTTTTAATTTTTCATGACTGTATCTTCCATGTTGTGTTGTTTTTATAACCTTTTTAAAAAGAAAAATACATATTATTAAAATATCTAAAATTGGTTTTACTTTATAATTCAGTAAGTAATGATTTAAAACAGAAGAATATAAGATTGTATTTTGGACAGGTACTGAAAAACATATTTTGTATCATAAAGAGGCAAGGCGTAAGGGAATTTGGAAAAGGAAAGAAAACATGCTGTTTTTTTCCTTCTAGTTTTATTGAGATGTAATTAATACACAGCACTGAATAAGTTTAAGGTGTACAGCATAATGATTTGACATACATACATCATGAAATGATTATCACAATAAGTTTAGTGAACATCTGTCATCTCATATAGACATAAAATTAAGGAAATAGAAAATTTTTTTTCTTGTGATGAGACCTCTTAGGGTTTGCTCTCAACAGCTTTCATATATAACACAGAGCAGTGCAAATTATAATTACCATGTTGTCCATTACATCTCTAATACTTATTTATCTTAAAACTTTGTACCTTTTGACTGCCTTCATCCAACTCTACGTCCCTCCATCCCCTGCTTCTAGTAACCACAAATCTTACCTCTTTTTCTATGAGTGAGTTTGTTTTTGAAGTATAATTGATCTACAATGCTATGTTAGTTCCTGTTACAGAACATAGTGATTGGTATTTCTGTACATTTCAAAATGGTCACCACGTAATCATTTCATAACTGTGACCCATTTATTTTGCAACTGTAAGTTTGTACCTCTTAATCTCCCTCACCTATTCTTTCCTTTCCCTACCCCTCTCCCCTCTGGCAATCACCTGTTTGTTCTCTGTATCTATAACTGTTCCTGTTTTGTTACGTTCTTTTTTTTTTTTTGGATCCCGCATATAAGTAAAATCATATAGTATTTGTCTTTCTCTGTCTCACTTAATTGGCTTAGCATAATAATACCCTCTAGGTTCATCCATGCTGTCGCAAATGGCAAGATTTCATTCTTTTTTTTCAAGGCTGGGTAGTATTCCATTGTGTATATATAGGCAGCATAGATATGGGTCTTGTTTTTGTATCCATTCAGCCCCTCTGTGTCTTTTGATTGGAGCATTTAGTCCATTTACATTTAAAATAATTAAGGATAGGTGTATACTTACTGCCATTTTGTTAATTTGGGGGGGTTGTTTTGTAGTTCTTTTTTATTCTTTTCCTTTGTGATTTGATGACTATCTTTAGTATTATCTTTGGATTCCTTTCTGTTTTGTTCATGTGAATCTATTGTTGATTTTTGGTTTGTGTTTACTATGAGGTTTATATCTTGCAATCTGTATATACATGTGACTGTTTTAAGTTCCTGATCTCTTTAAGTTCAAACTCATTTTTGCTCCTTCCTCTCATGTTTACTGTTGGGCATCATGTTTTACATCATTTTGCATATCTCTTGCCTATTTATTGTGGATATAGATGATTTTACTATTTTTGTCTTTTAACCTTTTTACTAGCTTTGTACATAGTTGATTTACTACTTTTACTGTATATTTGCTTTTACCAATGAGCTTTTTCCTTTTGTAATTTTCATATTTCTAGTTGTGGCCTTTTTTTTCCCCTCTGCTTTGAGAAGTCCCTTTAACATTTGTTGTAAAACTGTCTTAGAGGTGCTGGATTCTTATAGCTTTTGCTTGTCTGTAAAACTTTTGATCTCTCCATCAAATCTGAATGAAAGCCCTCCTGTGTAGAGTATTTTTGGTTGTGGGTTTTCCCTTTCTTAACTTTAAATATATCATGCCACTCCCTTCTGGCCCACAGAGTATCTGCTGAAAAGTCAGCTGATAGCCTTATGGGAGTTCCCTTGTCTGTAACTTGTTGTTTTTCCTCTGCTGCTTTTAATATTCTCTCTTTTATCTTTAATTTTTTCCATTTTAATTACTGTGTGTCTTGGTGTGGTCCTCTTTGGGTTAATCCTGTTTGGGACTCTCTGTGCTTCCTGGACCTGGATGTCTATCCTTTCCCATGTTAGGGAACTTTTTAGCTGTTACGTCTACAAATATGTTCTCTGCCCCTTTCTCTCTCTTTTCCTTCTGGGACCCCTATAATGTGAATGTTAGTATGCTTGATGTTGTCCCAGAGGTCTCTTAAATTATCCTCATTTCTTTTTATTTATTTTTTCTCTTTTTCTGTTCAGCTTCAGTGATTTCCACTACTATATCTTTCATCTTTCTGATCCATTCCTTTATGTCATCTAATATAATGTTGATTCCTTCTAGTGTATTTTTCATTTCAGTTATTGTGTTCTTCTCTGTTCGGTTCATCTTTATATTTTCTAACTCTTTGTTAAAATCTTCTGACTTCTCACCCTTTTCATTTCATCTTCTCCAGAGTTCTTTGAACAACTTTATGATCATTACCTTGATCTCTTTATCAGGTTTAGATTGCCTATCTCCACTTCACTTAGTTCTTCTGGGGTTTTATCTTGTTCATTTATTCGGTACATATTCCTCTGTTGCTTCGTTGTTCCTAATTTGCTGTTTTTATTTCTATGTATTTGGTAGGTTGGTTATGTTTTTCCAACCTGGGAGAAGCAGGCTTTTATAGGAGATGTCCTTTGCATGCCAGCAGCACACTCTGCTCTGGTCACCAGACCTGTGTGTGCTAGGGGTGCCCCCTGTGTGGGCTGTATGGGCCCTCCTATGTTGGGCTGACTACTGTGGGTGGTCTGGAAGGCGTTGGCTGGTCCCAGGTCTGGTTGGTTGTCAGGCCCTGCCTTGCGTGGTGGCTGCCAGCTGCTGTTGGGTGGGGCTGGGTCACGAGGCTGCTGGCTGTGGGGCCCTGGGGCTCCTTGTGTTGGTGGGCAGAGCTGGGTTCTGGAGTAGGTGGTTGTGGGGCCAAGGGTCCCGGGTCTAGTCTTGGCCTGCCGATGGGTAGGGCTGGTTCTCAACATGACTGTCTATGGGGTTGGGGGTGTCTCAAAGCTGGTGGGAGGGGCCGGATCCTGCGGCAGTTGGTTGAGAGGCCTAAGGTGCCCCAGAGCTGGTGTTGGTCCACTGGTGGGTGGGGCTGGGGTCAAGAGGATCCCCAGGCTGGTGCCTTCCCACTGGTGGGTGAGGCCAGGTCCTGGGGTTAGTGCCATCACACTGGTGGATGCAGGCAGTCCTGTAGTCTCTGGCTGCAGGGCCCTGGAGGTCTTGGAGTCGGTATTTCAGCCCACCGGTGGCCAGGGCCAGGGCCCAGGGGGTCCTGGGGCTGGTGCCTACCCTCTGGTGGGTGAGGCTGGCCCCCAGACTGTTGCAGGCCCACTGGTGGGCAGAGCCAGGTCCTGGGGTCTCTGATTGCAGGGCTCCGGGGGTCCCAGGGCTAGTGTGAGCATACTGGTGTGTGAGCTGGGTCTTGGGCCCTCTGGTGGACAGGGCTGGGTCCTGGGATATCTGTGGCCTCGGGGTCTTAAGGCAGCAGACCTGTGGGTTCACATCCTGGCAGTAAAAAGCTAGAAGGAGGATTCCAAAATGGTGCTGGCCGTCGCCAGCATCCTCGTGGTAGAACGAGCTTCCCAAAATGACTGTCACCAGTGTCTGTGTCCCCAGGGTGAGCTCTAGTTGCCTCTTGTCTCTGCAGGAGCCTCTCCAGGATCAGCAGGTGGGTCTGACCCAGGCTCCTTTCAAATTACTGCTTCTGCGCTGGGTCCTGGAGCGTGTGAGATTTTGTGTGTGCCCTTTAGGAGTGGAGTCTCTATTCCCCAAAGCCCCGGCTCTCCTGAAAGTAAGCCCTGCTGGCCTTCAAAGCCAAATGTTCTGGGGACTCGTCTTCCCAATGCAGAGCCACTGGGCTGGGGAACCAGTGTGGGGCTCCAACCCCTTGTTCCTTGGGAGGAACCTCTGCAATTGTAAATTATTTCCCCCCGTTTGTGGGTTGCCCACCCAGGGGTATGGGTATTGACTATACTGCATCTCCGAACCTCTTACCTGTCTTGTTGTGGTTCTCTTTTATATCTTCAGTTGTAGGTGATCTTTTCTGCTAGTCTTCTGGTTTTTTTCTTGAATAGTTTCTCTGTAAGTAAGTAGTTGTAATTTTGTTGTATGCCGAAAATAACATGCTTTTTAATTCTAGCATTCACTCTAGTGGACATATTTCCTACTTGATGATTAAATGGATGTTTCTAAACTTCTCTCTCAACATTTTACTTTATGGATTATTTAGAAGACATATACTTTAAAAGAATATTAATGATAAGATAGTGACATTATAAAATATTCTAAATGACTAGGAAAAATAATCCTTGAAGGCTATATGTCTTTATATCTAAAAGTTATCCATTCTCAAGCAGCTAACAAGCCCTTTGTTTGGATTGTGTAAATTCCAAATAGAGTTCATAAATCTGAATACAAGAGAGCTGAAAATCCAAGTAGAACAAAGGTCATCTAACTGCCTTCTAAAATATTAGTTCATCTTTGGTCTTCAGTAGCCATATGCAGTATGTTAAAAATCCATTTAGGAAAAAAAAGCACTCAAGCTGTAAAACATGAGATTTTTGAGATCCTGTTGACCACATGATTCAGGAAACTTACAGCTGTATTTGGTATTAAAACCAAGTTATGATTTTCTGGAACCAGACTTTCTAATTAAGTTTATACTTGTAGGTTTCACATATAGTCATTAAAATGTATCTTCCAAAAAAACAAAACCCCATTCTGTTTTATATAGGGCTTTTTTTTTTTTTTTTTTTTTTT